AAAAAAAAAAAAAAAAGATTACTCACAGTACAACCACATTGTAATAGCACAGATCCCTCTGCAGCACAGATCTTCAACCTCATAACTCTGGGCCTGCAACGCCAAGCATCACTTTTTCACATGTGTAGGCCCAGATGGTGGAAGCTGATGCAATGGTTACCCTGTGGTTCGGTGCCAAATGGGCAAAGAAACTGTTTTTTCAATCTCGGTTAAGGAAAATAATGACTGCTGACCCGTCCATTGTCCTTCAGAATGCTCTTTTTGCCTTTTTTTTTAAACCAACTCACTCTTCAAAGGGCAAGGAAAATGAGCAATAGCGAAATGACAGAATCCAAATTGCAACATCACACTGAAATTTGAAAGCCAAGATAGTCGCGAGCTGTCCAGACAGCAGAAATGCACTGATATCACACCGAAGAAGAGCCAAAGCAATGAACTCAATTGTCAAAATGAAAGCCCTCTCTAGCCACCATCAACGATGTATCCGAAGTCTTCCCTCCTACTGGTGCTCAGCGCTCAGACTACGATCATACAGCTCCAATACTAGCCTACCCTAATGACGAAGCAACCAGATGACATCAGCAGCGGCAACCAAAGTACATGCATATGTCGCTCATGCAGACCTCCACGACGGCCAGGTACGTGCTCTCACATCTCCCATCATTCGCCCTGTTTCTGCTCATCCTTGTCTTTTCCCCCACTCTCCTTCACCAACCAAGGACCACCATACTCCGCTGACCTTCCTTGCGCCCAAGCCCGACTATGGCTGGCTTGGTGCTGCGCTGCTTCCATGCAGCGCTCTCCCACCTGCGCCCGTGTGCGCCCAGGCACTTCCGCTAGCAGCTGCGAGCGCTCGAACTTGCAGTGCTGCCGCATTGCACCCTCGTGCCTGAATGCTTGTGTCGAGGCCGGGCGTTTTCCCATATGGAAAGCAGCCTGGCCTGTAGGCTGCTCGGCCCCAAGACCTGTGTGCCCAGTAGCTTCAAGTTGGGCCAAAGTGTTTGTGCTCAGGCCCGTTCAGAAAGTGGCCTGGGCCCGCAGCAGTTAGGCGTGCCCAACTGCTACGGGCCCAGGCCACTGTCTGAACAGGCCTCCGCCCCCCCCCCCCCCCCCCCCCCCCCCCCCCCCAAAAAAAAGAACGAGTCTCCCTACGATCACCCAGCAGGCTCGGAATGGTCACGTTCCAGTAGAATCCGGGGAAGTCTTTAAGTCCCCATGTCATCAGGTGAGTATCATGCCAAAAGTTGATGCTGGGCTCACATCCATAGCCTCTTTGAAAGTGCGCTGAGCCCCGTTCTGACTCCATCATGTACCACATTGCTGATGTTCTAGCAAGAGCATACTTGAGAGAAGACAAGTGCCACCATAGCTAGCAAGCTTCCACCATAATTATGACCATATCTATACCTCCACCTCCATAGCCAGAGGTCATTCACTTCCTCTATCAGCTTCTGCCCTACCGTGGACAGCTCCTGCGCGGGCTGAGCAACATGACGGCAAGATGATGACATCACCAGAATAGTGAAAACTACCACCACCACTAGTTGTTGGGCTCAGGGGGATTTGAACCCGAGATCTGCCCCACATGTGAAACCAAAACAAGTTGTGTTAATTTTGTTTTTCAAGTTTGCTGCCAGTCAGATTCGAACCCGGGACCTCCAAGTAAGTGAACGGTTAGCTGAGCTTGGACAGATAGGACCCTATAGGACCTAGACCTCTGAAATTCTCTAGGCCAGAGCCTGGTAGGATCCAGAGGCAGGTACATCACAAGGCAGAGTCTGCAGTACAGCTCCGAAACAGAAAGAAACTGGGGCAGTGGCTGGTGCAAAGTACTACAAACACCTTGCAAACAGTGGAGCTGTAGGAAGAAAGCAGCGTAGACGCAGGTACATCACAGGCAGAGTCTACAGTGCAGCTCCTGAACAGAAAGAAACTGGGGCAGTGGCTGGTACAACACACGGCACATCACTAACACAGACATGATAAGCCAGCCTCCCCTGGCCGAACGCAGAGTATAACCAATGTTATCAAAGCAAGATGTATGCTGCGGTCACTAAGGGGCCGACATACTATAGTGACAACAGCAGTGGGGGAAGTTGAGAGGATGAGAGAGAAGAGAGCCCCCGAAAGGAGAGAGAGGAGAGCTCAGCGCCTGGTTCACAGGGAGAGCAGAATCAGACAATTCTTTCTGCGCTGGAGGAACTGACAAAAGTTATGAAAGGAAAACATCCGCAGCAGAAGCAAGGGAGAATGAAATAGCAGAGCAGGCGAGATAATGTCCCAGCGGGAGGAACCGAACATGGGTACCGCTGTGGGACAGGATTGGAGGGACGAGGCATATATGAACAGAATGGAGAACGGCCTGTGTGTGAGATGCGGCCGCTAGGGACACTCAGGTCGAGACAGCAGAGCAAGAAGGACCGGTAGAAGAGTAGGCCCAGTAGATGGCGCAGCAACATCTACACAGGTTGGGGAGAACAATTCAACAAGTTGCAGGGCGCCCAGTTTTCCCACTCCCCAACCCAAGTTGGCCAAGGTTGCAAGCACCTGCCAGGAGCAGCAAGGAGATGCAGAATGCAACAGCGGTTATAGAGATGAAGATGAGGAGAGCAACTTCTACGCAGTGCTTTTGCCTGTGCTGTCCCACTGCCAAAGACTGCACAACCCAACGAGGTGCAGAGGGTGATGTGCTTGTCTGCTGCTGTCAACAAGGTGTACACAGGGGAACCGATTGTAGATGTCAGTGAAGAGGAGGAGGTGACCCTGATCAACATTGTTGTGAATCGCAGAGTCGTGAAGGCAATGGTGAATAATGGCTCCTCTTAAAATTGTCTTTCTGAAAAGGCGATCAAGAGATTACGTTTGGGAATGAAGGTGCAGGACCTCACTACGCCTGTGGAGGTCAACCTTACAGACGGGAATGTGATTCAAGTGAGACAGTGTGTCAGAGACACTCCTGTCACTTTTGATGTTGATGGAAAGATATGTCATACTGTGTCTTTCTTGATCTTGGACGGATTACCGTTTCAGATGGTTCTTGGCCAGAGATGGCTGAGAGCAGTGATCACTTGCGCCACACAGTCATGCAATACGACGATGCAGAAAACGTTGGCCAGCGAATTATTCTACTTGCATCATTCAAAGGTAGTCCGCATGACATGCACCGTCGATACCAAGATGCAAGGGTGGCCGTTCAAGAATTAGGGGGCTCCTGATTTTTTCATCATAATAACATGTAATTCACACTGACCGGAAATCGAAGATGCACTCTTGCCGAGCCAACCACCACCAGATCGACCTGACTTGTTCGCACGTGTCTTCAAAGGATACCTGCGACAACTCACCCACGACATCCACTTGGCTCACATATTTGGTGCAACTGCAGCTTATGTCTATACTATTGAATTCCAAAAACGACGGTTGCCACATGCTCATCTTATCACAATACTTAAAGATAACTCTAAAATCACCACACCTGAACAGATTGACGCTGTGCGGCTGTGGTATGTGCTGAACTTCCGCAAAATCCTTAAATGTGTGAACTCCTGTTATCACATATGGTACATAGCCCATGCGGAGTGCGCAACACTGGAACATCATGCATGCACGATGGTCGCTGCACACGTTTCTTTCCCAATGATTTCTCTTAATGAACGACATGGGACAAAAAAACAGGATCCCTATTTATCGGCGTTGCGCACCATCTGACATGCAGATAATTGGTGTTGCTGAAGCATGTTGGCGAATCTTCGATTTTTCGATGTCCGAACGATACCCTCTTGTCACTGTGCTCCCAACTCATATAGAAGACCACCAACGAGTGTACTTTCGACAGCCAGCAAGCCGAACGAATCGCTCATGGTCCATCACCCGAAACCGAACTCACGATATGGTATAAATGGAATGTTGCACACAGTCACGACCTCGAAGACAGTAAACCTCTCTACAAAGATATGGTTCACCAATTTATGTTTCATAAAACAAATAGACGATGGGTTCTATGACGGCGTGCGGCGATCATGATTGGTCGCATCCACAACGTACATCCAAACGCAGGTGAGACTTTCTACCTACGCATGTTACTCACTTCACCATACTCCCGTAGTGCGACCATATCTGCCAACCTCCGCACGGTTGACGGCTAAGTACACCTCACATTTCAATCTGCATGCAAAGCGCTTGGTCTCCTTACCGACAACACACACTTCAATGCTGTCCTCTGCGATGCCATTTTCACCTTATCATCACCTATGGTACGTTATCTCTTCGTCCATATCATTTTGCACTGCAATCCTGCAGCTGCTAACGAGCTTTTCAAAACGCACTGGGAGCAGATGATGGGCGATTATTTTAGAAACCTCACTGTCACCAACATTGCACAAAATCTCCTTAGAGCACTCGTCCTTGACATTGAAAATCGCCTTCAAAAGGAAGGCAAAAAACTCGAAGATGTTGGCCTCGTCCCGCCGCCTCCGGCTGATCAAAACGAAGCAACTGGACTCATAGAAAGACCGCAGCGAAATTGCATTCTCAGACTCATTGACGATGAGATATCCTATGACAAACGAGAACTCCAACAAACACTCGATACAGATCTTCCACTCCTCCTGTTCTCACAACATGCCGTTTTTCAATGATTTGTAAAACGCGACAGAACACAACGAACCACTTTGTCTCTTTGTTGATGTGCTCGCAAGAACGAGAAAAACGTTTTGCTTCAACACCATTCTTGCACACATCCGCATACAAGATCAAATTGCACTTGCTGTCGCATCTAGCGGAATTGCTGCAGCACTCCTCAGCAGAGGTCGAACTTTCCATTCCCACTTCAAGGCTCCACTGACGCCAACGCCAACGTCCACCCTCGACATTCCCAAACAAAGCACGCTTGCCCAACTCATTCATATGGTAGTCATTATCCATAGGGATGAGGCACCCATGATACATAGATACCATGTTGAAGCATTAGACTGAACGCTACGTGATATCGGCTCCTCTGACCTTCATTTTGGTGGCAAGGTCATAGTATTCGCAGGTGACTTCAGACAAACCTTGTCGGTTGTCATGAAAGGTACGTGTGCACACACAAAAAATGCATGTATAAAATCTTGAGAAATGCTTGGATGCCTTGGGTGCAGAATAGTCCAGAAAAGTGTTTGGCACTGTTTGCAGTGATTGACACTCTGAAAACCAAGTGGCGGTGACTGGCCCATTCATCTTTTCTTTCCTTTTTCCAAATCAGTTTATTTTTTAAGAGTGGCAAACGCATCCACAGGCCCTCACATGAAGGACACACTGAATGCTTCCCTTCATTATGGTCAAGTGACCCTTTTTTCTTTTTTCTTTTTTTTTGGGGGGGGGGTGCTGGTGGGTGCTCCAATCTATTCGTAGGGAGCAGCACGTGCTGGGAACCAGGCCCAGCGTCCTGTAGAACAATAGATTGGAGGGAGCAACACGTGCTGGGAACCGGGCCCAGCGTCCCATGTGAAAACATATGTAGAACAATGTAGAACAATTTGAAGTACTGGGGCCATTACCTGGCTTCAGCTGAGGGGTCAAGCGACCCTGAGACAGCAACATTGATGACGTTCTGTTTCAGTCATGAGGTACTACCGTACTGCAGCTCCACCCCTGCTTTTTGTATCCTGGCCATATTCTTTCTCTAAGGGAACTACCGTCTTCACCTGAATAGAATGCCCGGTCATTATAGACGTACTTAAGGCAACTATCAGTCCAGATGCAGCCATAATGACCTGGTGTTTTATTCGGGTGAAAAGGGCAGTTTCCTCTCCAATATGCATTATTACATGGAAGAAGATCCTAACCTTCTCACAGCTGAACATTAAACTGCCAGTACCTTTCCCAGCCGGAAAAAAATAGTGTGCCGGGTTAACACGGATGCCGCAAAGGGCCTCGCGCCCCGGCCAAATGCATCCGGATTCCTTGGCGTGCAGGGCCTGCGGTCAATATATGGGAAAGGTACTGGTGGTTTAAACAACACCTGAGTGCTGGGGACAAATGCCCCACTTTGGGTGCCGGGAGTCAAACTCTGCCACGCAACATTGGGTCAGTTTCTGTAATAGTCATATATATATATATATATCGACCTCCTGATGAGTCGGTGAAACTCCGACGAAACAGTTTGTCACAGCCCCTCGTTTGTTGTCCTCTTCTCCCTCTCTGCCTACGGTTTACCGGGCAGTTCTGTTTGACACAAACAGAACTGCCCGGTAAACCGTAGGCAGAGAGAGAGAAGAGGACAACAAACGAGGGGCTGTATATATATATATATATATACAGCCTCCTGATGAGTCGGTGAAACTCCGACGAAACAGTTTGTCA